GTTTTAAATACACAAACCATTGCTAAATCTCTGACTTTGTTTGGCTGTATGTTTAACTCGACTGACTTTAAAACTCCACTCATTGCTGGCAAAGAGGTCTAATCTATAGTTTGATATTTTTATGATAAAAAATTTAATATTTTTTTGTTTTAATCTACGAAACAGTGCGCAACTAAACAGGGTCTCGATTGGGCGGCCATTGATGAGTGCGCGACGGGACCGTTGGGTCGGGGACTACACCTTCAGGCTGGAGAGGTGTACAATAAGGCCACTCCCAAGGGCTTCACTTTACCACATATTGTGATTGATGGTAAATGGACGGCAGAGATCAATGATAAAGCTGAAAAGGACCTGGTGGCACTCGTATGTGACACCTATACTGTATGTTGGCTATAATTTTTTAATTTAATTATTTGTGTATTTTATTAATTTTATTTTATTTATCCGTAAATATAGGGCACAAAACCAGACGCGTGTAAAAAATAAGCAAAGTTATATATTTTTGTCAAATATTAAATGTTTGCATTAAATTATTAAATACTTTATTTTAATTGTGAAATTCATTTGACTTACATTTTTTTGTGTAAACCTGACACAAATTTAATAAGTAAATTAATTACTAATTAAATTAAATTTTCAATTTCTTAAGCAATAATTTACTCAAGGTTCAGTACTGTATTTATAAATTAAATGTATAAATATAAGCAATGCAATAATGATATTAAATGTTATGTATTAATGAATGCGTTAGTACTGATCATCGGGATCGTGCAAATCATCCGGGTCACCACGATCCAACATCAAAGCACATATGAGGGTCATTACGGTGGATGTAATGCCCATATAAGTGACCCATATATCAGTGTCGTCAGTCATATAGACAAAAATGAGTGGACAGGGTGTTACGATTGTGGTCACAATGATAATGTATTTGTTCTCCTCAAGTATACCAAACACCGCCACGACTGCCACTATCATCCCACATACCGGGGTCACTACATTCAGTACGCGAAGGGTTTCCTGACTATACATAGCAGCTGTTAATTCGTGTCATTAGTATTTAACTACAAATATAATGTCATAAAAAGCCATTAAATTGTACTTACTCCATTTATCGGAGTCCAGAATCAATTTGGACGTATTATGGTACCACATGATGGTAGATATTAGTGACACCATATACGACACAAACACCGCACATGTTATCACTTTAAATATTAGGAATCTCTTGTGTGAATCAAATGTCGGCAAATACTTGAGAATCTCTCCCATTATTATTTAATTAGTAAATTGAATGCTATTTTATAAATTATTGAAATACATTTACATGTGTTTGTAAATTTAGACACCACATGAATTATAGCCTATTCTAGTGACCATTAAGTGTCTGTACTGTAGATTTTAAATAGTGAATTCATATATGATTATTCAGGTCAGAGGTTTTTACTAGTTATTAGTTAGCCAATGATAGCTTTACGTTAGTAATTCATAATTTTTACTAAAGTTTACTAAAAAAATTAGTAAATAGTGTACCTGTTTACTGTTTACAGTAAAATAAAACTCAATTTTGGTTTTAATTAATTTAATGACATTTTTTAATTTTAAAACATTTATTTGACTAACAACTTGACAACTCTGACGGCACCCGATGTGTGAACCAATAGCTCCAGATTATCATCTTTGGTAACGGTTCCCAACACTTCTTTGCCCTCATCGAGGAACAGGTCGTGTACTTCGTATTTGGTCTCTTTAACCGCTGATGGGATCAGTTCAGACACTTTGTGTGATATCTAAGACATGAAACATAAATATGAAAGAAATGCACCGAAAAAGTGTAAAACATATAAATACATAGATTGGATGACCCATTGGTCTCCTATTCAGATATGTGACCACTTGAGACCACTGGCCATTCACCACAGGCTCCACCGGTTTCACCCACACCTGTGTCTCGGAATTTTTGTCCTAAAAGT